TTGCTGCTGCTGCTGTTGCTGCTGCTGCTGGCGTTTCTGCTGCAGCATGTGCTGCTGTGTCTCTCTCTGCCTTCGCTTCTCAGGTGAAGGGCGAGTCCCCCTTCCTGTTGGCTGTATAACACAAACAACCGCTGCTGCTGTTGCTGCTGCTGCTGCTGCTGCTACTGCTGCTGCTACTGCTGCTGCTGCTGCTACTTCTACTGTTGCTGCTGCAGCAGCAGCAGCTGCTGCAGTGTGTATTTGTTTGGTTGTGAGTAGTATAAAGGGCCGCCGGTCTCTTCTCTGTTTTTGTATAAAACGAAGAACCCCAGCCCTTTGGTTCTTCTCGCTACGGTGCTGCGGTGTACAGACAGCAGACAAAAGGAGACAGCAACCGCAACTGTCTCCTTTGTCACCTCTATACACACACACGCACACTAACTGTCTCCTGTCTATCCTGGGGGCCCCCCAGGCTTCTTATGGGGGCCCCCCCACATCTGCGGGAGCCCAACAGACCAGTGGGGGGACCCAGGCGAGTGGGGGCCCCCCTATATACGGGGGGCCCCCAGAGGGTACACGGGGCCCCCAGAACATCACGGGGGCCCTCAGAGGGTACAGGGGGCCCCCAGAACCTCGCGGGGGCCCCCAGAGGGGACAGGGGCCCCCAGGAGGTCACGGGGGCCCCCAGAGGGGAGGGGGGCCCCCAGGCATATAGGGAGAGGTAGGGCCCTTCCCCTGTCTGCATGTCATCAACAAACTGTCTCCCTTTGGTGTCTCCGTTGCTGCACTCTAAGCAAATGTTGCATGCAGCCAGCAAGCCCCAGCAGCAGCTGCTGCAGCAGCAGCAGCAGGAGGAGCGGGACCAGCAGCTGCTGCTGCTGCTGCAGCTGCAGCAGCAGCTGCAGCAGCAGCTGCAGCAGCAGCTGCAGCAGCAAGGAGACAGGGGAGAGGGAGGCGTCTCTCTTTCAGGGGACAGTAAGCAGCAGCAAGCCAGAAAGGAGACATATTTTTTATTTTATCTAAATAAAGAAACAGAAGAAAATAATATAATATAAAGCTGTTTCTACGCTGCAATGGGAGGGGTTGCTAGCAGCAGC